ACTAATATATTCATAAACAGAGAAAATTATTTCCATTTTCCAACATTTCATCCAATGAAAGACAAAACTTGTCACAGGAAACTACATACAACTTTGTTTTGACAAATGGTGAATTGGCTTAAATTGTGAAAAATAAACATTCATAGCTAAGAGATCTCGCTTAAAGGGCTGGAAAAAGCTCGTTGAGTCTGCATGGTAAACCATAGAATTCATTGCTCCTAACATCAGATCCATAGATACTGAATTTCTCCCACCATTTCAAACCACTGTCGTCGCTGGCTGCATCGTCTTCCCGTGCAAGCGTGAGATCCAAAATGAAAGCAACCAAGGCAGCCACCGTTGTGTGTGATGCGAATATGACAATCAATACATCATTGAACTGCAAATTAATTGAAATGTTAAGGCAATCACTCGCAATAAAGATAGTGCAATTTATCATAAAGTTTCAAACAATTGGTTTAGTTTTAGATACATATCTCACCCATCCTGCATGTTCATGTTTTACTTGATAATATTCTTTGAAATATTGCGGTATAGAGACACCGAGGAAGAATGAGAAGCCTAACACAAATTTGGTTCTGAAACTGTTGAGGTTGCAGAATTGGAGAAATCCAAGACCAGCAGAAGCTGACATCGCCGAGTTAAATAAATTCTTGTCAGATGTCAAGTTTTATATGCTTACAATGATATAACCGGAAAGCTTAATTACAAAGACAATTCATTAGAGAGAACTTACACACGTAGCCGAAGAATACACAGTATAATGCTGCTATGATTGGCAAAGGTATAGAAGCAAAAACTGCTCCAAATTTTCCTGATTCAAAGGGGAAAGTATGCAGCATCAGATATCACTAAGTAAAGAGAATAACAACATTAAAAATAGGAAATGAACATTTTAGAAGAGTCAATTCTGATTTTATATAAAAAAACACAACGTCGAGTTGCACAGATTATAAAATCATGAAATGATGCAAAGATTGTTAGTCTATCATACCGAATACAGAGAAGAAAATCATAAAACCGGCTGATATTTGGATGACTCTTCGGCTTCCCACTCTCGTCAACGCCAATAATCCAGCATTTTCCCTGAAATAAGTGCATAACGTAATGTAAAAAATGCATAGTGCAAAGAAAACTTAATGAAAGAGTGATATAAATAAAAACTTACACTGATGCTGCGCTTCCGGTTAAAGAACCAAACATGCCATTGAGCAAAGAAGCTACTCCCTAAAATAACAATAGGAGTGACACATGAAAACCAATCACAAGTTTCTTGTCCATAATTCCAGAAAGAATTACAAAATATGGTGAACCTTACCAGCCAGCCAGCTCCGCGGCTGATAACAGAAGGTGGTACGGGTGTGGCACTTCCATATCTAGCCGCAGCATAAAATGTACCAGTAGACTACATGCAAATATGAAAACTATTCAAAACTCAAAACCAAATATATTTATTTCGGGGATTCTTTCATGGGACCTAGCGCTTACATCAAAAAGAGAGACAAAAGATGCTGCTAACATAGCAAATGTATCCCCATAGTTGAAGGTAGGACTTCCCCATTGGAAGGGATATGGAAAATACACCCTGTATAAAATTTATGAAGGTTATTGATAATTGATAGAACCTAGTAATGTGTCGACAATCTTACCATGGAGCAGAAGTAATAAGACCAGCACGATCGGTGCGGCAACTATTTTGTGTGCTTTCTGGCTTGTTGTTATACATAGTGCTCGAAGTTAGAAGCTGTGCTAATAACCATGCAATTGCAATGGAAAACAACACTGCAAATTGGTCAAATTTAAACTTCTTGGGGCTTATATAACGATGAAGATACTGCAGCAGCATTGAAAACAATAAAGACGTTTAGGATTAGAACCAATATTTAAGAAAAAGAAATTTTAGATTCAAAATTAGTCTACTTGCCTGAGAGATGAAAACCATAACAGTAAGTGCTGGAAGTCCAACTTCAACACACGATGCAAGCTGCAGCAGCAATTGAACAAATTAGAAGCTGAATTGCATGAAACATTAAAACATAAGATACAAGAACACAAGCCGTCTGAAATTTGAATGAAAATTTCGAAAGTAAGAACATATATACCATAGGGAAACCAAGATGATAGAGACCAAGTCCAGTGAAAGTTACATAAGGAACAACACAAAGTGGGCTAAGGAACCTGAAGAAGCGCGAGAAAAATCTATCAGCAAACTAGATATATACAGCGACACTGACACGCCAGAGACATCAGACACTTTTTCAATCTCAAGAAAGTTGCAACCGTTTTTACTAACCTGACTGCATTTCTCCATAGCCCCAAGAATCCTATAACCATTTGGAAACATGAACATATAATCAAGGCACCTTGTATTCCCCTAACTGTCATAGTGAACCTCTGATAATATCAACCAGATGGACCAAATCAGCAATAAAGTAAACAGGGAAATGAACATCGACAACAACAAAATGATTATGAAAAAAACAATTGACCTCATAAGGATCTGAATATGAACTGTATCTGCTGGCTTGCACAACAGACATAATAGGTATCATATAAGTATATGAACCACCAACTACAGTCGGCAATCGTGTTCCAAACAAAGATTGAAGAAATGTACTTAATCCCGAAACAAACAGCATATTCTGAATCATCTTAGCCTTCTCTACCTGCATTGAAATAAAATACTTCAGCTAATTTTCAAAACTCATACTGTTAAAAGCGGAAATCTAACACATAAAAAGGTGCTTACATTGGTTCCACCCATTTGAGGTACAACTATAGTTGGAACCAAAACAGTCATGCCAAGAGTCAGAATGTAATGCTGGAACCCCAACAAAATTGCTTCAGCTGCATCCGAAAACAAACAAAAAAAAAACATAAGCTTAATCATTGAACTCAATTCACATTGTCATAATAGGAATGAAAATACTAACGCCAAGGAGGAGGACTATTGATGCAATATTGAACACCAGGTAGTTGTTCTTTCACTGGATGTGCTACTGGTAGTTGTTCTTGTTTAGCATCTTTAGATTGTGACTTTTTGTTGTCACGGCCACCATCTCCACCTTCATTTTGAGCCATATGTTGCTACCAAATGGAAACAGCTGTTTAGTTTCTGTTCAAAAAACTTTGTTGGTTAAATCATGCAAATTACAAAGCCATAATGAGTCTGTTTAAAAAAAAACATTGCCATAATGAGGAAATAATTCCATTTATTTTGGTTTCTTCAGTTACTGTTATTGAAATTAAAAACAAAACGTTCATTGATTATGGTAACTTCTACTTTTGAAAGGTCAACACACTTTTGAAATTCTACATGAAACATAAATTAAATACTAATTATATAAAATTTAAAAATTTAAAAAAACCAGAAGAAATGTTTTGTTTATTAGGAGTATTATATATATATATCTATATATATATATATATATATATATATATATATATATATATATATATATATATATATATATATATATATATATATATATATATATATATATATATAGTCTCTACGAGACATTGAAGGATATCAAAAATGAAATGAAAATATCTTTTATCTTTCTTTATTTTATCTAATTAATTTATTGTTCTTCCCTTTTTTAGTGTAGAAAATCCTAGTTCATAGTTTTGATAGGAAAACTCCTTATCAATTGGTGCTTTCATCAATGTAGTCAAATCCTCCTATAGATTATCTTTATTATACACTTTCATATCATTTATAGAGCATTCCTCCTATCTATCCTACAAACCCCTCTTTTTCAACTCCTACTACACCTTCATTTCTAATGAAAATTTTTACACCTTATTATTCCAACACCCATGTTGCATCTTCATCACCAAATTTATACTTCAATTATAGATATTCACCACATACACTTAATCCTAACCCATATTCATCCTATTCCACGTCTCATTATTCACACAACTACAACAATTATTATCAACAACTAGAACTAACAAACACCTCCACAATTAGTTCTAAATATCAAAATCATTTTCATACTCTAGGTAATTCTGCTATGCATAAAAGTCTTATAGCCGAGCCTGTTGTTATACTATTACATGTTGAGAAGCTTGTTTCTCCAATCAAATTCCTTTTTGCATTTCTGAATTGTGTGGTGATAATTGATTGCAAAAGTAAGAAGAATACTGTTGAAAATAATCACTTATATGTCCATGGAAACATTTCTTCTTCTTTAATTCATAGAGTTCCTAGTATCAAATTTTATGTTCTTGCTGACCCTACCTCCTTGCTTACATATATACGAGATCATCTAGAACTCCTAAACAAATTTTCGTCGGTGCCTTATCCTGGTCAAGTTGCTCTTCTAAGGTTGCCTCAAGTTGATGATATTAGAGTTAGTGACATTTTGGAGAAGGCTTGTCTAAATTTCACAGATGATGAGCACTTGTTTATTGTATTACAAGAGGCTTATGCTACTAACATGCATTATCTTTTCTATAATCATTGGTATATAGAAATCAATACTGATTTTGGTTTGCATTTGCATGCTAATTGTCTCTATAAGAGTTGTGGTTGGGAACTCTTGTCAAAGTTTGAGCATCAGGTGACACAAGATGGTTGGAAGAGTAATAACATAGATGGATATGGTTTCTGTGATGATGTTTTTAAGACAACCCTTTTGGATGTCTATCATAAATGTGGTGGTGTAAGATTAGCTGCCTCTGTTTTTGCCAAGACGGATGCTCGAAAAACAACAAATGTTGGTTCGTGGAACACCTTGATAGCTTCTTATCTTCAAAATGGACAGGCTTTGGAAGCTTTTCAACTTTTTCGTCAAATGATACGTACAAATGTTCGAGAGCCAAAGCTTATATTGGAATATAATGGCAAGAATGTTTCAACTGATGAAGCAAATGTCTTTGATGTTATCAACACAGCTGCTGAAGAGCTTGATGGTACTTCCAAATGAGTTTCCAACAAACCTTTGACTTTGATTGTGAAGAAGAACAGTGTGCCTGATTTAACTATAACTATGATGGATTTTCTGGGAATTACTCGTGTACCTGTTCATGGTCAGCCAGATAATATCTATGACCAAATCAAGGATATCATCATGGAGTATATAACTCCTGAAGAAAGCATTATATTGAATGTTCTTTCGGCTACTGTTGATTTCACAACATGTGAGTCCATTAGGATGTCTTAGGCTGTTGGTAAAACGAGATTGAGAACTTTGGTTGTCGTTACAAAAGCTGACAGGTCTCCCGAAGGTTTGTTGGAGAAGGTTACAACTGACGATGTTAACATAGGCCTTGGTTATGTTTGTGTAAGGAATCAAATTAGCAATGAATCTTATGAAGAATCTAGGAATGAAGAGCATAATCTTTTTGAGTCTCATTCGCTCCTTTCCAAAATAGACAAGTCTATTGTTGGAATTCTTGTCCTGGCACATAAACTTGTTCATGTCTAAGCTATGATTATATCAAAAACATTGTCGAAGATTATAAAGAAGATTAATGAGAAGCTTAATAATAATTTAAAGGAGTTGGAAAATTTGCCTGCCAATCTGTCATCTTTGGCAGATGTTATGTCTGTTTTATGCAAATTGTTGCTCTTTCTAGAGATTCTCTTAGAAAGATTCTTCTGATTAGAGATTTTCAAGAGTATTTTGAAGAAAAACAAATGCATTGTACTACTAGGTTAGTTGAAATGTTTAATTCCTATTTGTGATCGGTGGATCTGGAACTGACTGTTTAACGCTGGTTCGCGAAATGTCGCGGAAGCAAGAGTCGCCACCGTCTTTTATTTTCTCCAATATGGAAAGGACATTTTCTCCAATATGGAAAGGACAAAAGCACAGAAAAATTCCTTATTGAGATTGCTCTCGGTTCGGGAGATAGATTTATAGAAAGGGAAGGTGTTAGCACCCTTTCTATCCATGGTTATCCATGGGCTCTTAGATATTTGCTCATTTGTGTTTTCAAAATATTTGTTTGCTTTTCAACTGTGGGTTTGAAAAAGTTTCTTTTAAAGTTTCAGATCGACTCTTGTATCAGTCCTCAAGAGTGTTTGAAAAGTTGTTTTTGAAAGCTTTTTGCAAAGTGTCGGTGTGAAAAGAAGTTTTTTGATTTGTTTTGAATTAGAACAAGTATCTATGAGTCATCTACCTACCCTAAGGAATTAGGCTGTGTAAATGTCCTTGAGGTAGTGCCATCCCACCATTGAGGGGTAGGTAGCACCACCGTTGGAGGTGTTCGGGTCAATTCGAATTTAGGGACAGTGTGGTCACCAGAGCAATAGTAGGACACCTTAGAAGCTACCCCCATGCCATGTTCATGGACATGAGGACTTACTAAAACATCCTATACTCGACGACCACGTTTCGAGGGGCAAGGCAACAGTGAGGCGTACCCTAAGGGTGGTGTGTGAATTGTGTGTCATTTTCAGTTATTATTTGTCTTGTCATGCATTGGGTGAGCTACGCTTTGATTTTATTTTGGGCATACATTCTTTCATGTGATAGTTAGCAATTAAAAGGTGCGGGAATTAAAGTGCGGAAAATAAAAGTCCTACGCTATTACAAGGCGCGGGTCTATACATCGCCAAATTAAACAAAGACCCGATTTGAATAAAAAGTGCGGAAAGTAAATGTCCTAATTATCTATTACAAGGCTTTGGGGCAAATACATTATATTTAAAAAGGAAATAAAAGTAAACGTGCGAAAAGAAATTAGAATCGAATGCGAGGGCGTTGGACCCTTTAAAGAGATTAAATGAAATTTAAAAAATTAATTAATGATTAAAGAAAAGAAAAGAAATTATTTTTTTGATGTTTTTGTATTTAATGGAAATAAAGAAAATTAATTGGAATTGAAACCCTAATTCTAAGCATTTTTAATTATTAAAGAAAAAGATTCAAGTTTGACCTAATTTACTAATTATTCAATATACATATTTACTTACAAAATAATTAATGGTTAATAATAATAAGAATAAAAATTTATTTATTGAGAAAAAAAAGAATGAAAATGCTAAACCTAATTTTTATGTATTTTATTTATTTAAGAAAAAAAACATTAAAGTTGAAGACCTAAAATTAAACTAATTTGGTTATTGCAATTTATTTACAAAATTAATAGAAATTAATATTAATAAAACATATTTTTTTTGTTTTATGATTTTCTGGTTTTTTTGTGTTATAAAATTTATTTTATGAATTTAAATAAAACAATTAACATAATTAAAATGAATAAAAGAAAAGAGCAAAAAGAGAGAAAGAAAATGCAAACATGAGGGGTGGTTGACCCAATTATGGAGGTTTGTTTGGAGCATTCTTGGCCCACTGAATCAGGGCCCCTTTGACTTTTCCAGCGCGTCTTTTCCAGCGCGTCTGCATATGGTTGACTGAGGGTGTATGGTGGAGTGCATGACCTGGCCATTGGATGAAGGCTTCTGGGCGCGTGGCAAGCTAGATGGTGAGGATGCTTGGTGGACCACAGGAGGGCAAGTGTACCTGAATGCATTACAAGGAAAAATATAGGGAAATATGGGGGACCTGGGAATCGAACCCAGGTCCCAATGCTTGCATGACAACACACCTTCCACCAAGCCAAACGCGTTTATTTGTTAAACTAATGGACACTGATCAATATATGCAAAAAGTGCAATTATTCTGGAACAAACGAAAAAACGCGCCAATAATTTGAATGCACCACTCACGTTCCTCCACGCATCATCTTCTTCAATTGTTATTTGTTTTGCCTGAAAAAATAAGACTAGATAGCGGGGGTTTTAAACCCCCACTAAATGGTACCTACAAAAATAGCGAATAGAGCATAGTAAAAAAGAAAAAGGGCGCGAGGTATGGGTTCTACTCGTTTGGAGCTTCTGAATTCAGTGGTACAAGTTTCGTGGCCTAATTTTTCCAGATGAGGAAAGCCCCAAATTCAAACTCCTGAAACCCTAGAATACTTTCATGGTGGATTTCTGTACAGGCCTTATTAATTCAATTAAAGCATGCCTTAAGCTTCAGAACACTCATATTAGTCCAAATCAATGATTAAAAATTACAAATAACGCATGGATAATGAAACACAATTATGCAAATTTTCAACAAAAGTAGGACTTTGTTATACCGATTCCTTGTGTATAGAGAGTGGAAAAGGGTTGAGACACGATCAAGAAAGTCCCATCAAGCCTTTGGAATGGATTGTAGGCTTTGAATCACACTGGAACTATGTTTTCAGTTTCAACTTTTTTTGTGAAAAATGCAAGTTTGGTTCTTTGTGTTTGGGCGCAGCTCTCTCGTTCTCTAGCATTAGGGTTCTGTTTGTGCATATATGAGGAATCATTCTAGGTCAAAAACAAAGCCCATGATCCATGTTTTAATGCCTTTCAATATTTGATTTTCAAGCATCTTTTTTCAATCTTTTTCATACCAATCTTATGCCAATCATTGAAGATTCTTTCCTTTTGAGGGATGCACGAAATATTGAGGCCTTAATGAGAGAATATGCTGCACAAAAGGATTTGGAAACCATGATTTGCTATTTTTGTCATATTTAATTTTAATTAAATGAATTAATAATAATAATAATAATTCAAATAATTAATCAAAAATGATAAAATAATTCCCTTTAAAGTCAATGGGTCGTGCATAGCTTTTGGGTGATGATTCTTGGAAGAAATTGTGGCCCATTAGCAATTTTGAGGCATTTGAAGCAAAGTTGACTTTTCAAAATTCCCAAAAATTTCCCAACTTCTACAAGGCATATTTTGCTCAATTTTTAAGATTTGATCATGTTCTTGGACATTTTGGAAAGGTCTTGAAGTCCTCTAACCAATTCCTTTGGTCCCATGTCATTTTTATTTACCAATCTCAAGTTATGGTCTTTGACTTAAAGTGCCTTTTTGTTGACTTTTGAAAATGACCTATAATGTTGAGATTGATAACTTTTTGTGAGAGCATTTCTTGGACTTGAAGTGTGAAGAGGAGTTGTAGGAAATGTCATTCTCTTCAAAATTAGCTTTGGATGGAATTTTTCTGATAAACCATGCGGAAGTTATGCCTTGGTCAATTTGCAGTTGACTTTTTCAACTGTCCAAAAATAGAAACTTTTGCATCTTGAGACTTTTTGAGCCATGCCTTGAGAATCATGATCAAGCATTGATCAAATGATGTTTGTGGCTTCAAAATAAGATGTTGACCAACAATTTTGACTTTTGACTGTCAAATGACCATTTTGCCCCTGCAGTTGACTGTTGAGCAATTAGGGTTTTTGACTGTGCAATTTTGTGCTGTGAGTCTTGAAACTTGGCATAAGGATGCTTGACAATGTTTATAGGCATGTGGGACTTGTTTGGACCCTTGGAAACTTCAACTTCTTTGCCAGAACCAAAACCCTAATTTTTGACTGTTAGGAGGCCATTGAACTGTGCAACCCTTGAGAGATTTTGAACCTTGATCTTGGCAAATCTTGAAGAATATGGGAGGGCAAATTTTGGGGTACAACAGTTGCCCCTGTTCAATCTTCTTAGACCTGAGGATGTAGATTGGCTGGCGTGCCTTTCGTAATCCGAAGGTGGAAGATGATTGAACACTAGAGTGCCCAGAAATTTGCGCTCACATAGTAGTGTGATGGTGGGAATGGGCTTACAGATGCCATTTGGAGATTGATGGATAGGAAGATGGGATTAAAGATGCCATGTTGAGAGGTGATGGATAGGTGGATGGGCTTATAGATGCCATCTGAAAGTGTGACAAAACCTTGTCGGGAATGGGCTTATAGATGCCATTTGGAACTGCAATGGATAGTTGTGGAGATGGGCTTATAGATGCCATCGGGGGGTTGTCGATCGCGTAAGAGATTCCTTAGCAAGAACTTGCGTACCTGGAAAAGAAAGATAATTACCTGGCCTATTACAGGAGTTGACCTTAAAATTCTTTATATAGACGTGCCCTGGCTGGATACAAGTATCAAATCTTTGAACTCTTCAGACGTGCTCTCAACGGGACGGTGAGAGAACCTTGGACGATTACTATCTCAACAGTAACGATGAGAGAATCTGGGGCAATTACTACCTCAACAGTAACGATGAGAGAACCTGGGGTGATTACTACCTCAACAGTAACGATGAGAGAACCTGGGGCGATTACTACCTCAACAGTAACGATGAGAGAATCTGGGGCGATTACTACCTCAACAGTAACGATGAGAGAATCTGGGGTGATTACTACCTCAACAGTAACGATGAGAGAACCTGGGGCGATTACTACCTCAACAGTAACGATGAGAGAATCTGGGGCGATTACTACCTCAACAATAACGATGAGAGAATCTGGGGTGATTACTACCTCAACGGGACGATGAGAGAACCTTGGGCGATTACTACCTCAACGGGACGATGAGAGAACCTTGGGCGATTACTACCTCAATGGGACGATGAGAGAACCTTTGGGCGATTACTACC